AGGGGCACTCAGCCACTGAGCCACATCCCAACCCTGTTTTGTATTTTATTTAGAGACAGGGTCTCACTGAGTTGCTTAGGGCCTCACTTTTGCTGAGGCTGGCTTTGAACTCTCGATCCTCCTGCCTCAGCCTCCTGAGCCGCATGCCCCATTGCATCTGGCTGCAATTTGTGTTTGTTTAATGCCAGGGTGCCTCAGACAGTGGGGTCAGGTGTTTTGAAAATGAGAACCAAAGGAAGTTTTTCCTCTTCCTTCAGGGTGCTGAGACTTTGTTAAACCTCTCTCTCTCTCTCTCTCTCTCTCTCTCTCTCTCTCTCTCTCTCTTTTTTCTGCTTGCTGAATAGTATTTTCTAGAAAAGAAGCAAGACAAGCCAAATCTATTGAGAGTCAAGAATATGTCTTCCCTGGTGATGGGTTCACTCAACCCAGCCAGAACCAGGCATCTAACTTTTACAAATGTTTATATAAGTAGTCACTTCCAGCATGTTCTAGCAATAACAATTAGTAAGTTATTTGGTCATGCGCGTTCATTCCATCACTGTATCTTCAGAAGTGGCTCTCCAGGGAATCAGGGGGTGCGGATCACATTCCCTGATAATGTCTGTGGTTACGTTTGACTGCTTTGCCTCTTAGCTGCACCATGTCTCCACAGAATTCCATTTGAGAGAGATTTAAAAATTAAACATCATGAATATTCAACAAAGCTGCCTGAAAGTTCAGCTCCGAGTGACTTAATCACCGTCTCTTCAAGTTTTTCTTGAAGAAGCCCTTGTTGGACCCAGGGAAGCATTTTTATTCTAGATTGAAAAAAAAAATTAAAAGTTAAATGTGAATATGGTGTTGAACAATCCTATGAAATGTTGAATTTTAATGTCCCTGGAAAAACGTTTCACCTCGGCAGGGCTTTTGCTTTTTGAAGACAAGGTTGTTTCTTAATGTCATCTCTGCTGGTGGACACACTGCATTAGTTTCCAGGGAACACAGGGCCGATTCAGAACAGATATGCATTAAGTCCATTTTAGACTTCTTTGCTCTGAGTCAGAAAAGAGAATCTTATGTCACAAAAAGTCCCTTTCAAAACTAAGAAGACCATCCTAATAGCTGGAATAGAACAAACAAAGGTGTTCAGAAAGATTACCCCAAAGTTGAATATCAGGCCAAAAGAGTACCATGAGCCCCTTGGAATTCATTACCCACTGTTCGACCTCAAGCCTCCTGAACAAACAGTGTAGTAGTCTTAAAGGCAAATGAGAAAATTTTTTAATTACTGAAGGTCTGCTCACTTGCCAAACAAGCAAGAGAATCAAGACTGAGATCAATAGTAGGGGGCTGTGTGTTGGCGATGTCATTGGCCACAGTCCCTTTGCCTAAGCTCCTGGTAATTCAAAGACTAGGCCATACTGGATCAAGTCCAAAGCCAGGAGGTTTTGTACCAATGTCTTCCCTGTGGTGGACATTGCGGCTTTCCACCTATAATCAAAGTACAATACATCCATTCACTGGAGTGTAATTCATTAGAGATGTCACTGCTGAAGAACCTATACTAACAATTGCACAGTACAGGTGTTCTTCATTTTATAGTTGAAAAATACTTTTTCATAATCTTAGGACCTTGACCTGGGAGGGGAGACACTATTACCCTCGTTTTGCACATAAGTATATACATGCCCAGAGAGGTCAAATAAGTTGTCCCCAAAGTTCAAGTCTTTGGTGAGATGTTGTGCAAGGCTGTATACTTTAACAAAAGTTAGAGTTCAGTCACAGTTCTGATACTTACTAAATAATCTCAGAAAGGTCACTTAACTTATCTGAGCCTCAGTTTCTTCATTTTTTAGGAGGGGTGAGGGTACTAGGGATTCAACTCAGGGGCACCCAACCACTAAGCCACATCCCCAGCCCTATTTTGTGTTTTATTTAGAGATAGGGTCTCCCTGAGTTGCTTAGGGCCTTGCAAAAGTGCTGAGGCTGGCTTTGAACTTGTGATCCTCCTGCCTCAGCCTCCCGTGCCACTGGGATCACAAATGTGCACCACTGCACCTGGCTTCAATTTCTTCATCTTTGCAGAGGAGAAAACACTAATGAGCATTAGAAGACATCATTCATTTAAAGCAATTTATTCCTTGGCTGGCTCACAAGGAAACTTCTGTATATAGAAAATGAGATGATAACCTAAAAATCAATTTCAAAAGATTCTCCAACACATTCAAGGGGGATGTAATGGAACAATAGAAAGTTCGGTTCCATCTCCAATCTCTGCAAAGGTAAATTACATTGAGAACTCAAGCGAGAAGGATGATGAGTTACAGGCAGAGTATGGTATAGGATATTACAAGTAATATACGAGTCATCATGTTTACTGTGATTAATAAGGCGGAAAGGTGGACACACATCAGAACACTTCTGAACAACAATAAACCTACTGCTAGCTAGAACTGTTCAGTTGAAGGGAAACCAGTGGACAGTCTGGCTCATGTAAGTGTCATGGTTTGGCTGTGAGGTGTTTCCCAGAAGCTCCTGGGTTAATGCAGGAATATCCAGAGGTGAAATGACTGGATTGTGAGAGCTGTCACCTGGTCAGTCCATCCCAGGTGAATGGACCAGCTGGGTGGTAAAGGCAGGCAGGTGGGGCATGGCTGGGGGAGGTGGGTCACTGCGGTCCTGCCCTGGAAGGTGTGTCTCCCTTGTGGCCCTTCGCTCCTCCCTCTCCCTCCCTCCCTCCCTCCCCCCCCTCTCCCTCCATTTCTCTGGTTCCTAGCTGACATAAGCTGGGCAGTTTCCTCCACCTCACCCTTCTGCAGTGATGTCGGGCCTTGTCTTGGGCCTAAAGCAATGGAGCAGGCCATCTGTAGACTGAGACTTCCGAAAAGCACCGCGTACCTGTCAGACATTTTGCCATGACAATCAAAAACAACGAGTTCTGTGTGTTTTATGTGTTTCCATAAGCACCCCCCACAACACCCCCCCACTTTTTTAAGCAACCAGGAGAGTGAAATTTGAAGACTGAGAGCAATGTGGGTTTTCTTTTTAAACTTTCCTTTTCTGGAATCTCAAGTGACTTACAGCAAAGTTTACTTGACCTTCCAGTAAAGGCCTCAGCTTATTTGAGGGAATGTGAAAGAGGAAGATTCAAGAAATTAGAGTCACAGAGGCTGCCGGGATGGGCAAAGGAATTCCAAACTCAGAATCCTTGTGCCGTCAGCTCTCTTCCGAGACAGGATCCTGGCGAATCCAGGGCAGAACACTCAGCTCTTGGCAAGCAAGTTTCAGTACAGGGCAAGTCAAACTCAACTGTTGGGATGGTGATCCAGAGAAGTCACTGAAAAGAGCCACTAACAGTTTCATCCCCAGAGCCCGGACAAGTCGTTAGGAGTTAGCAACCAGAAGCTTCTCATTTAATAAAGGCAAAAATGCTCTGGTACAGCTGGAGACCCTGAAGCAGGCAATCCTCCCAAGGCACAATTAGTGTATCTGTCACATTCTGAGTGTGGTACACCAGGGTCCTACACAGGGTCTCAATTACTCATTTTTAAGATATTGTCATATCATAAATAGTTCTTCCAAAACACATCCACAAAAATCCCTCTTGTGCTGGTGCAGTGGTGCACACCTGTAATCCCAATGGCTCTGGAGGCTGGGGCAGGAGGATGGAGAGTTCAAAGCCAGCCTCGGCAAAAGCAAGGCCTTAAACAACTCAGTGAGACCCTGTCTCTAAATAAAATACAGAATAGGGCTGGGGGTATGGCTCAGTGGTGAGTGCCCCTGAGTTCAATCCCTGGTACCAACCCCCCAAAAAATCCCTTTTGTATTATTTTGTCATAAGGACAACATATTTCATACATTTAATAAAATGTATATTATATATAATAAAACATATTATATATAATAAAAATATATTTACATAATAAAATATATTACATATTATTTAAATATATCATATACCTTGTAAAATACATATTATAATATCACATAATATATGACATAATATATATTTTATAATACATAAATTTTAATATTTATATGTAAATATTTTAAATATGTTGAAATATTTGCATATTTATGCATACATATATGTGAATACTTCATATATATGAATATTTCTCCCATTCTGTAAGGTCTCTCTTTGTACTCTTGTTTTCTTTGCTGTGAAGAAGCTTTTTTGTTTATAATATATATGTTTCATGAATACACGTTTTATATAATATTTATTTGATGAAATATATTATATATTACCCAATATTTATCTTGTATAAAATGTATATCGTAAACATAGAAATACATTTAAGGTTAAGTGAACCCACTTCCGTGGAGATCTTTCTGGGAACTCCATCCATAGGCACTTACGATCTAATGACCTCTTTACCCGGGAATCCTCTTACCAGAAGCCTCTCCCAATCATTAATAATAACCAAGTTCAAAACGTTTAAGAGCAGTCCGCCCTGGCGAGTCTGATGGAGAAAGGGGCTGAGAACCACTTTGCAGGCTTTTCCCGTGACATTTCCTGCGGGCTCCCAGGGAGAGCGCGTCAGGCCCTGCGTGCAGCTGAGTTGGCTCACCCAGCCTGCAGCCCGGGCCTGCGTCCTCAGCCTCATCTGAGAGTTGGAAGGAAGCCACCAACGGGCAGCAGTCTGTAAACAGATCGGTCCCTTCAGCTCCCCACAGCAGAGCAGAAAATAAAGGCCAATGAAAGGAAGCGTAAGGGAGAGAAAACTTGGGAACAGGCCAACGGATTTCTTTGAGCCCTTTCAAAGTGATACTGGTTGTTCTAGGGAGCTCACATCAGGGTCATTTGATGGTGCAGGACTCTGCTGTCCAATAGGGTAGTCACTCGTCACTGGCAACTCTTTAAAGTTAACCTGAATGAATAAAAATCAAATAAAATGAGCAATTTAGTTGCTCAGTCACTCTAGCCACATACCCAGGGTTCAAGGCCAGGGCTGTCACATGGGAGGCCACAGAGAGAGAATGTGTGCCTCAGTGCAGGAGGTCAGCTGCTCTGAAACAAAGGAAGATCGCCCTAAAATTGGCTATTAAATAGAACCCAGACTCTGTAGGGTTAGAAGTCAACTGGTAGAAGATTGATAATTGCAAATGATTTCTGTTCCTTGGTGATGCGAATCACCCTACAGGTTACAGTTTTATTGCTCTGAAGGAAATTAACCAGTTTGGGATCTAAATTTGCCCTTTTTTGTTTGTTTGTTTGTTTGTTTGTTTATGTACCAGGGATTGAACCCAGGGGTGCTTAACCACTGGGCCCCATCCCCAGCCCTTTTTATATTGTATTTAAGACAGGGTCTGGCTAGGTTGCTTAGGGCCTGGCCAACTTGCTGAGACTGGCTTTGATGCTCCTGCCTCAGCCTCCTTCCTGAGCCGCTGGGTAAATGTGCCATTTTGTTCCAGCTTTTTAACTGACTCCATCTATATCAGTCTTTGGAGTATCTCTGAGCCGGCTTTGTCCCCCTGCTGTGTCCCTTGCTACTGAGTTAAAGCCATACTTGACAGGTACTCACTATCTATTTGGGAGGATTATGTTTCTGACTTTTAAGTATTTGTTGACAAAGGGATTGGACACATGCACCCAGTAGGAATCTGAGTTAAGTAGGGTCTAAATTAAATATTGGGCACGTTGTTCTCCTGGCAACATTCTTAGTTTTTCCAACAACAAAGCAAAGGTGGCATAAAAATTAAGAGTTCAGATTTTGAACACCTGGGCCAAGGTCCATGAAGCTACTGTGAGCTATAAAAAGGAATGGAGGAAGAACTGTGTCTATGCCAAGGAAGAATCTGGAAAATATTATGGTGGGTCAAAGAAGCCAGTTATAAGTGGCTACCTGCATCCTGTAGGGCTCCATTCACATGAAATGCTAGAGTAGGCAAATCCACAGAGAGAGGACAGTTAGTGGTACCCGGATGGGGAGGGGAGGGAACCGGAGTCACTGCTCACGGCCACAACATTCTAGAATCTGACAGTGGTGGTGGTCACACAACTCTGAATACCTTAAAAACTGCTGAATTTGTATCTCAGAGGGTAAATGTTATGGCATGGGAACTATGTATTAATAAAATAAAATCATACATTCGCTCTGATATTCACAAATCAGTGTCCAGTGGTGATTGAGAAGGTCGGCTTTGCCACTAGATGCAATAGGAGTTCCTTGTAAACTCATAATGAGTATTGAATGCAGAAGAGTTTTTGCTAAAATATCTCCTTGTCCACTTTACGCAGTGTCCTTAGAAGATTCTTTAATATTAATTTTATTTACTATTAAATATTATTTAATAAATATTTAAAAATATTCATCACATGTCATTTATTTAATAAAAATATTGCTTTCAAAAATTAATAAAAATAACATTTAAGATGAACACTTGAAGGATTCCCTCCTTTGGGCCTAGGTAGGCTTTGGCCATGTTATTTTAAGATACTGGCTCCACCTCCAGTCCTGAGATTCTCCAAGGGCAGCGCTGAGCATGGGCCATGGACCATTCAGTCAATGCCAGCTCCTTGGCTTTGATTTCTGATTCATCTTGGGGATCATCATAAGGAGGCCACCTCTGGGTATTCCTCAAACTTATTGCGGAAAAGCCACTTGAGCCATTTTTCAGGATCCAGTCAGCACACAGGAAGGACGCTTTGCCAGCCCCAAAGCCGGTTGGGTTGATGATTGTCAGTGAAGGGGGTGTGGGTGTAGTTGAGGGAACATACAAGAGGTAAGGAAGTACCCAGCGAGCAGCCAACCCACACAGCCATGACCATTGACCCTTGGGCCAAAGATACAGGGGAGGGACTTCCCTATAGGAGACTTGAATTTGAGGGAGGAGGGCAGAAATACTGCAGCTTCTCTCCATCCTTCCTCTGACTTTCTAGTCAATCTCTCCCTCTAAGGAAACCCAACTTGAAGCAAGCTGGCCAAGGAGCCCCAGGGACGCAGTTTCCAGGGGTCAGCCTCCTCAGGGACCAGGTTTGGAGACAAATATATGGTTATTACAAGGTGCCTACTTGGTGCTGATGGTTGAAACTCTCTCTAGAGCCAAGTGTGGTGGTGCATACATTTCATCCCAGCAGCTCAGGAGGCTGAGGCAGGAGGATCGTGAGTTCAAAGCCAGTCTCAGCAATTTAGCAAGGTCCTAAGTTGCTTAGCGAGACCCTGTCTTAAAATAAAACATAAAAAGGGCTGGGGATGTGGCTCAGTGGTTAACTTCCTCTGGGTTCAATCCTTGGTACCCAAAAGAAAGAAAGAAAGAAATTCTCTCTGGAGGCTGCTCACAGCCCAGCCCCTTTCCTTTCTTCTGGCAACTTCTGTCTCTTCATTAGCAAATTCTGCTATTAGAACAACAACCTAAGCAACTCAGAGGGTATGCAAAGACAACTTGTGCTACTTAATTTCAAAGCTGCATCTCTTTGAACAGCGTTGAAATCTGTTTCTCGTAGAAGGCAAATTAGTTCATTTCAAATGTGCTTTGTGAATATCAACAGACCACCCAAATGTTTACTTATTTTAAGCTGTCCTCCTAGTGAGTTTTAAGAAAAAAAAATTTTTTTTTAATTGCTTTGAGAGAAGGGGAGGAGGTTTTCATGCGTATAAATTATCTGCATTAAGGGCCAGCTCCATATTAAAACAACATTAATTATTCACTTGCAAGGATAAAGAATTACCTATCATAGGAAATCCCTAGTTTGACCTTCTTTTTGACAAACCTACTTGTAAGCCTCAAATCTTCCCAAATATATCTCTTACTCAACCTTTCTTCCTGGCAAGAAGAAAAGGCAATGCACAGAGAGACTGCTTTTAGGTCACTTCATGTCTGAAATGTTGGAGTATGTGAGGTCTCTTGGGCCAGGAGATCAGTTCTAGAATTCTAGAACTTTTTTCAGTGCTTAACCACTGAGCCACACCCCGAGTCCTTTTTAATATTTTATTTAGAGACAGGGTCTCACTGAGTTTCTGAGGGCCTCGATTTTGCTGAGGCTGGCTTTGAACTTGTGATCCTCCTGCCTCAGCCTCCCAAGCTGCTGGGATTACAAGCTAGAACTTAAGAACATTTTGCGGGGGGAAAAAATGCCCTTGTCTGTGACTCTTTAAAGTCCAAACTATAGAAAAAGTCAGCTAGGACAGTTCCAGGCTGGGGATTTGGGGGCCTAGCAGAGCAGGACCCCCCTGAGGAGGTGTCTGAGGCCTGGTGAGTTTCCAAGTCCCCACTCCCCTTTCCTCGTTCCCCAGTGACTTTCTGGAAACAGAACAATCATTATCCAAACTCAACGCACAGTGGTCCGCCAGGAGGAAAGTCTATCATCTGGAACGCTTTAGATTTTCTATACAGAGTGCAGACATGTCCTGGGGACTCAAGGTGAGTATCCAAAGAAGACATTTTCATTTGCTAGAAAACCCTGTGTCATTTGATCAGAAACCATTTAAGGATCTGAATCTTTTTACTGTTTTCATTTTTTTTTTTTTAGGTACCGGGGATTGAACCCAGGGGCACTCAACCACTGAGCCACATCCTCAGCCCTATTTTGTATTTTATTTAGAGACAGGGTCTCACTGAGTTGCTTTAGGGCCTCACTTTTGCTGAGGCTGTACTTGAACATGCTGTTCTCCTGCCTCAGCCTCCCTGGCAGCTGGGATTACAGGCGTGCACCACTGTACCTGGCTAAACTGCCCTTGCCAACCTCTACAAAATACTCTGAATCATAACAATGAACTTAAAAGAATTTTTGTTCTGGCTTTCACAAATGGGAAAGTTGGATCTATAGCTGTTGTGAGTCGTCTTGTGTGTGAACTCGATGCTGCTGAGGGTGCAGGGTTGTTAAAATTTTGAGAACAACTGCCACCTACCTGGAGTCACCAAAGGAACCCTGGGGAAGGAGTGTCCACCAAACAAGGATGGCACACAGCTCCAAACTGTAACTAGCTGGTGTGGCCAGTCTTTCCAGGTTAATTTATTTGTACCATTCAGCTGTTTGATTTTCTGCAAATCTCCTTTTCCACTGCAAATATCACTCTGAAGGGATACGGTATCTGTTGGGATTCCTGGAAGTTTGGAGAAAAGTGGCAGAATCCAAGGAGGGTGTCCCATGGCTTTAAAACAGGAAAGGGAGCTAAAACTGTTTTAACCTACTTTGAAATTTATCTGATGGTTTATCTGTGCAGGCCAGCTTCTTTCCAAAAGAAAGAGCTTAAAGTTGAGACGATTCCACTTATTAGTGTATGGTCTTTGAAAAAATCTAAGCCTCAGTTTTACCACCAGGGAAATGGGGCTATAATACTACCTCAGTGGTTTTGTGAGGATTATGTGAAATGATGTATATAAAGTCACCAACATGGTGCTTGGAACGTAGTAGGTGTTGAGTTAAAGGAACATGGTGATAAAGATGATTCTGTCTGCTCACAGCACATGGCTAACCTGGGAAAAGCACTGAACTGTGTACAGAGCAGGGGAAACATGGAGGAAGCAGATGGCTGGGACATTTCAATGACAGTTGGCTCTGTGTGTCACTACTTTCGTTCCAAGCTGGGAATAGAGAGGCTTAATAGAAGAAACC